ATTTAAAAAAAAAAAAAAAAAAGGAGAGAAAAAACAGAAAAAAAAAGGATCGGTGCTCTGAACCCTCGTGTTTCCTCCTCTCTAGTTACACGGCTGTGTTGAATCCCTCGCTGGATTTACAGAGATACTTCTTTTGTAAACGTTGTCATTAAAGTCTCTTCCTGACGGTACATGTCGCTCCGAGAAGACTATTCTTATCTCTTTCTAAAACTGTCGAGTTAAAGATTAATCCGAACTTCTGTATTCCCCACCAAACCGTCTGACGCGCCACTTCCCAGTTTGACAAACACTGCAGCTCCTACTCCATCCTCTAATGACAGGACCTGGCATTCCTATTGTGAGAAATATTTTAACTCCTCCAATTCTGGTCAACACAGACAAGTTTTCTTTCTTTCTTTTCTTCTTCCTTTCTTTCTCCTCTGTGCTTTCTTCCTCGCCTTCTGGTATTTGTGTTTGGCTGGACAGTAACAATTCAAAATATTACTTGGGATTTTATTTTCCCCTCTGTGCGATTTTAACAATGTCGTGCTACGTTGAGAAGTGTATCTTTTGTTAAATTTTACTTTTACCCAAGCAAATTTGGATATATGTGTTGTAGATCTGTAAACAAAACAGAACAGAATAAACTACTTTGTTCGGAGACATATTTTAACCATTTTGAGCCCTAAAATTGTTTTCTACAGAAGTTTTCACACAAATTGTTTCTTAGAAGCTCCATCCAGGAGTAAACAAAACATACAGACAACACAAAAAGTAAGGCTAAACACCACTCGTGAATTATACTTCTATAATATTCCATAAATGTATATATATAGGTTTGTATCTCCAAAACTTTCTGTAATCAATGTACCCGCAACTGAAATTGTCCATGTAGGGTTTTTTTGTGTGTTCTTGAAAACACAACGTATTTCACATCACCTGCTTCTATCTGCAAAAAGGCAAAGCACCACCATTTCTGCAGGGCCGTCCCTGGTGTAATCCAATGTGCTTTTCCCAAGTGTTTCCCACCTTCGTGCTCTGTAGGCTGTTCTTCAAGCAGTGTCTGCTCTGACTTACACTATCAGTCCTTCATTAAATCTGTTAAGAAAGGAAAGGCCGTTTATAGACAGCCCTTCCCCAGATCTGAGGAAGCAAGGAGTTTCAGAGAAACCCTGACCACAAACACAGTGTTACTGAGGCGCACTGCCCTGAATTATTTTCATATTGCAGAGAGATGGGGTTTGCAGACTTGGTTTCCAGTGGGGGAGGAGGAGCATGTGCGAGGGGGAATCTTCTTGTAAATAAATTCACTTTCTTCCCCGTGACTCTGGCAGAGGCGTCTCGTTTGTAACGCGATAGAATTCCGTGATGATAACCTAATTATTAGAAGTAATGTTACTTTAGCGAGATCGCTGGCATTTTTACAATGTTTGTACAAGCATCAGCAAACTAGAGAGAGACACTTTGGCACAAGCCAGACTTTTTCTTGGCCCATCATTTAAAACCCATAAATTATAAACAATCCCCTTTCACACTCAATAGGAACTCAGCTCCTTTGCAACAGCATCTGATGTGCTGAACTCCGGTCACCCATTTAAAACACAACTCGTCAGCCAAGGCCAGGCCTGGGGCTGATCCCAGCCTTGCCTTTCTTTGCAAATAGGAGCCATAGCACCCTTTTCCCTTCTTCCCTGCTCCCTCCATCAGCTCCAGACCCGTAACAGGATCACTGAGCCAGGGCCTCTAAATGCCAGCAGCGCTGCAAGCAGTGTTTGGGATGGGGAGCTGCCGACAGCACCGGTTGAGAGGCGTCAGGGATGCACCACCGAGCTTCAGCAAGGCCATGCAGGTTCTCCTGTTCAGATCAGTGGGTTTTGGGTCTCCACTGGTTGGTCTGGCCCTTACAGTAACCCACCATTTAATGGGGCTGCAGCAGTTTCCCTGCTGCAAAAAGGAGATGAGGCTTTGTGTTAGCTCTGTGCAGTCTGTGCAGGGCTGAGCTGCCCCTTTGCACCCTGTTTCTTTTGAGGGGGGTCCCATCCATGTCCCTCTGTCTAGGGTCTGGTGAGCTGCACCTGGGCAGGGCGACCTAGGCAGGCACAGCCAGGGGCTCCCAGGGATGCCACTGTCTTGCAGGTACCGCTTGTGTGGGGCTGGGAAAACAAAGCCAAATGTCTCCTGCTCCATTAGCAAGTGCTCCCTGGGCAGAGCACTGCAGGCTCCCAGCGCTGGTCCCTGGGCAGGCTGGGGAGGGACTCCTGGGCATCCCACATGGCTGCCACCATGGGACCACGGCTGAGTCACGTGGGGCTGCAGGCAACCTTGTCCACGGGTGAAGAGGAGGCAGCTGGCTGCCCACCCAGGAGGCAAGGACAGGCAGGGGGGAGGCTGGCTAAGAAGGAGCCCACCAGCACCAGTTAGAAGCCCCCAACTTTCTTGGGGACCAGCTGAGTCATTGGAGCTCCATGGCAAGAAGTCTGAAGGCAGGATCCACCACTGGGGTCTCTGCACCCCTCCAGCCCCATGGGAAGCCCTGCAGGGAGGTCCAGACACAGAAGGAGGTCCAGACACTACTTGGCTAGAGAAAAAAGAGCGTAAAGGGGATGGGGCTGCCAGGCTGCCACTGGGATGGTGCCTCACTGACAGCTGTTGGCCAGGGAGGGAGGGAAGGAGCTGCAGGTTGCGATGCCGTCCTTCTACGTGCCAGCCTGCCGTGTGTGCCCAGTGGCTGCACACAATGGCAGCCTGGCAAAGGCGCAGCGTGCTGTGCAGTGGAGAGGCCCAGGCATCCGGCACTGCCGCCGCAGACCTGCCTGGGAACAAAAGCCGGAGCCAGATGGGCAGCACAAAGGGGCTGGTGCTGCCGGGGCAATTAGGGCCGCGGTGGTTGGCTGGGCACCACGTGATGTTATGTATTGATTAACCGGCTACCTCTGCTTTTAAAAGGCGTGAGATGGGCTGGACCAGAACTCCATTGGCCGCAGCCACTTTCCAGGGACTGAGCAGCAGGTTAATCCCTGAACAGGCAACAGCTCTCCATTCCCATGTGAGCAGCGGCAGTGGGTATGCCGTGGTCCTCGCTGGGAGTGGGGCTGGTGGAGGAGGGAGGGGGCTGGCTCTATAAAGGGTCATCAATCACATGATGAGCACTTTTCACTTGACAGCAGTTCCTCCTACTTCTGCTTGGGCCTGAACCAGCTGGGACTCGACCAGAAACCCCGTCCAGCAGAGGCAGAGCCCAGTCCTGGAGCCCGAGAGCCACGGAGTAACGTGGCAGGACAGGACCAAACCCCTTCGGTCACAAAGGCTGAGATGCAAAAGGGGACACAGTGAGGTGTCTGTGCCTGCACGTCCCCAGACCTCTGCAGATGCTGCTCAGGAGCAGAGGTGGGCCTTTGTCTCCACCTTCAGAGCCCAGGGCACCAGCTCCCTGAACTGCTCTGGGATGAACCCCAAAAAGACTCAGCTGCAATGACCATAAGCACAAAGCTGAATTAAATTAGCATGGGATCTGTACTAGGCAGGATGGAGGTCTTCCAGGTAAAAGTACTCCTGAATGTACAATTTGAACACTTGGGTTAATTTTCAATTTATTTGCTGACGTGCAGTTTTTCTTGCAACAGCTGA